TAGATGTTGGGCATGTAATAGGCGCTTAATGAACATTTTTGTCAAATGAGTAGATTAATATATGAACATAAATTTTTTCATATTCCATCATGATAAATTTTAAAATATAACTTTTGGGAAAATCTGGGGTCTGTTGCTAAGATCATGCTTAACTTCTGCTGGAAAACTCACTAGTGAAGATCATAAAACCCTCCCCAAACAGTGTCCCAACAAAGTCCTGGTCTGCCCTGAAGAACTCAGAAACATTGTTTCACTTTGAAGTTCTTATAAATACAAGGGTACAAATTAGTAAATAAATAAAATCTGTTTTCTAATATCTCTGAAGAAATTTATAAATTTATAAATATTATTATTTATAAGATAATTTGGGAAGCAAAAATGCACACTTTCCCTGAGCAGTGTTTCAGCAATCATATGATAGGGCATCAAGGGAAGTGCCAGGCGTGGGGAATTTAGAGCCCCTTATGACCTCAGTACAGGTGTTCACACACTGTGGGAGATACATTAAAGTCCAAAATCCTGAGGATTTGGGGTATTGTGCCACCAGCAGGTCAACCTGTACCTGTGAGGCAAGTGCATCAGCAGCCTGATGGTGCCTTCAGACTTCTAGATACCCAAAAATTGTTTCTGTGCCAGACCCCAACCACTTGGGACCAGCTTTACCAAGAAAGTAAACGGCCAAAAGTTAGGTATGGGGGAGACACACCCACAAACCACCTCCAGCTCAGCTATATAATTGGAGGCAAGGCCTCTCTGGTTCCTGATCAAACGGCCATGATCCCAGAGACTCAGAAACAAATCTCAAAACCCAGCAGCTTTTTGCAGAAATGTGCCTGGTCCCTGCAGTAGGTTACCGGCGCCAGGCCACCCCAGGGGGGAAAGGGTGCTGTCCCTGCACCTGCTCCCCCTTGGTGGCTTGGTGGACGCCATCCTCCAGGCGCCATTGGACAGTCAGGGCCCACAGTGATGAGACATGTAGGGCCTCACGGGATGGGGGTGGAGCCAGTCCTCTCCTCCCGGCCCCAACAAGACAGCTTCTCTGGCTCCTGATCAAGCTGCTTAACGGCCATGATCCAAGAGATTCAGAAACAAGTCTTGGAACCCAGTGACTTTAAGCAGAAATGCATCCAGTCTCTGCAGTAGGTTACTGGTGCCAGGCCACCCCAGGTGGAAATAGGTTTCATGCCTTGGCCTGTTCCCCCTGGTGACTTGGTGGCTGCTGTCCTCCAGAGGCCATTGGGCAGTCAGGTTTGGGCCTGCAGTGACGAGACGTGTGAGGCCTCATGGGATGGGGTGGAGCCGGCCCTTTTCTCCCCGCCCCAACGAGACCCCAATTTGCCAGCCACAAACGGACTCTGTGGCTCCTGATCAAGCTGCTTAACGGCCATGATCCCAGAGACTCAGGAACAAGTCTTGAAACCCAGCCACATTTAGCAGAAATCCCTCCAGATTTAATTGTTAAAATTTCAGAATTCCAAAATCACGTGGCCACTACTGCAGCCACACAACATCATATGTTATTCATAATCAGCAATAGTAAACAAATTGTCTACAGTTGCCTTTTCAGCAGATCTGAGTGTTGGGGTAAAATCCCAAATAATAATGGTGGGTCTGGTGTTGAAATATTGAATATAATCAAAGTAGAGAGAGAGTAATGTGGAAATCATCTACCCCACAGGTAGAGGAAGGGTGTGGGATGGGGGGTATACTGCAGTTTTTGGTGGTGGAAAATGGGCACTGGTGAAGGGACAGGTGTTTCATCATTGTATGACTGAGACTTAAACCTGAAAGCTTTGTAACTGCTCTCATTGTGATCCAATAAATAAATTTATATAAAGAAAAAAAAAGTAAGGTGGAGTTCATGCCCAATACAATCATCCTAATCAATGGCTGAATAAATAGCAATACTCCTACATTAAAATAAAAGAAAAAAATTCGAAGGATAAGTAAATTTGGCAACATAGTAGTCCTTGGACACTCAGGAATTAAAACTCTTTGGTCACCATGGCCCAAGACTTGGAACTAGGCACAAAGTACCACTGAAAACACTCAAAATCTACTACCTCAATCATCCCACAGGCCGTTAGAATTTGGTGCCTACCAAAAGAAAACTGTGACTGCACACCCCTGGTCATCATCAAAACCTTATCAGTCATAGTGCATTGGTATAATAGGGCAGCTTCAATTTTGGATATCTGGTTGCAGCACAGGTCCACTCAAGCTCAGTGTCACTCTGCAGCACTGCACAACCAAATATCACCCATGTCTACAGTACTGAGGCACTATAATCACTCTCAGATGTTGGCTAACATAAATTCCCTACTACCTATAAAGGTGAATTTGTTGCTACTGCTATTATTGGGTGCTTGTGACCACAATCCCCAGTCTATGCCCAAGTCTACTAAACTTTGAAACAATTGTCACTTCTAAACCCAGTAATTGAGTCTTGGGTTTGGTTCTTTTGCTGCTATACACCACACAAGCTCAACAGTTGTCCACACAAATTCAGAGACAGATTCACTTCCTAGAATTTGTGACAATGAACCTCTGATTGCTGTCTAGAATGATTTGTGTTGGTTCTTCACCCTTAGATGTTATGAAGAACATGGAATAATAAGAATTAAACAGAGAAATTCACCTATACTAATAGAAGAAGGAAAAGATTTTCATATGCACATCAGAATTTTTAAACTCCAAATTGAGGGGCTGGAGCAATAGCATAGCGGGTTCGATTCCTAGCATCCTGTATGGTCCCCTGATCACTGCCAGGAGTAATTCCTGAATACAGAGCCAGGAGTGACCTCTGTGCATGGCTGGGTGTGACCCAAAAAGCAAAAAACAACAATTTTAAAATAAGGAAACTAATAAAACATAAACTGAATATAAACTTGGAAATTATGAGAGAAAACATGAGAAATATTTTGGTTTTTTTAGTACAGCAGTTGAATTAAAAATATTTAAACAGGTTTCAACAGAACAATGGATAAAGATGAAGACTGAATAAATGAGCTTGAGGATAAGGTAAACTATCAAAAACAGATCAGAAAAAATTAATGTTTTAAAATGAAGAAAATATGAGAGGGACAAACAGAATGATCTTTCTCATATTAAGGATATAAAGAAAAATAACGAATGCCCAAAGAATATGAAAATGAAGAACATTAGAACTGGTATTCAGTAGGAAACATGTCACTTGGGAGTCCAAGGAGTAGGACAAGGAGGGGGCAATGAATCTGATACAGGGAAGCATTTAACCAGGAGGAGGAGGTGGTGCTGAAAGGTGGTAAAGTGTTACACGTGAAAGCTTATCTGCAACCATACTATAAACCACAGAGCAAAAACTTCTTTTAAAAACAATGTCCATCGATTCTCAAAAAATTCGAAATTGAACTCCCATTTGACCCAGCAATACCACTCCTGGGAATATATCCCAGAGAGGCAAAAAAGTATAGTCGAAGTGACATCTGCAATTGTTTGTTCATTGCAACACTCTTTACAATAGCCAGAATCTGGAAGTAAGCTGAGTGCCCAAGAACAGATGACTGGTTAAAGAAACTTTGGTACATTTACACAATGGAGTACTATGTTAGAAAAGACGAAGTCATGAAATTTACATACAAGTGGTACTACATGGAAAGTATCATGTTAAGCGAAATGAGTCAGAAAGAGAGGGATAGACATAAAACGATTGCATTCATCTGGGGAACATAAAGGAGAATAACAATCAAGAATGGCCGAGATTAGTAACAGGAATTTTGCTCCATGGCTTGGAGGCCAGCAACACATGCTAGGGGAAAAGGGAGCTCAGATAGAGAAGGGAGCACCAAATAAAGGGTGTTGGGAGAATCCTCCCAGGATGGGAGAAGCATGCTGAAAGTAGACTATAGACCAAGCATGATTGCCACTCATTGCCTCTTTTGCAAACCACAACACCCAATAGGAGAGAGAACAAAAGGGAATGCCCTGCCACAGAGGCAGAGTGGGATGGGGGTGGGGGGTGGGGGGTGGGGGGTGGGAGGGATACTGGGATCCATGGTGGTGGGAAATGGGCACTGGTGGAGGGATGGGTATTTGATCATTGTATAATTGAAACTCAAGCACAAAAAATTTGTAAGTCTACAACTGTACCTCATGGTGTCTCACTAATAAAAATTAAAAATAAATAAATAAATATTTAACCCTAAATAAATAAAAACGATGTCCATTATGGTGGAGCAAGCACCCATCCAAACAAAGCCTCAGCAGCCACTCACTCCTACATTCCAGAATCGCTGCAGTACCCCTGGTCAAACTCCATCACCTAAGGACTGAGCCTAACAGAGAAATTAACCAGCTGAAAACTCAGATACACGAGTCCCTGTAACTGAAAATTCCAGGATTTTTTGTAATCAGAATGGGCTACTTCCCACACCGATCTTTGCTTCTGGAAGCCCTGGAAGTCATGACATATCCCAAAGCCACCACTTACTGTACTGCCCAGTTAAATATTCTGTATTTCCTAGAGCAACATCTCCAAATTCTACAACACTGACAACCCAGTAGTAGCACACCAGGTTGGATGGGATGTAATGTAGAAGCCAATCAATCACCACTAACAAAAATATTAACACAGAAGGCTTAATTTGTAACATCTTAGTAATCCTTTATACAAAGACTTAATGTCTCTTCTGTGAGATACACTATTTTCATTAATTTTCTCCTAAGGAAATATTTTTGATCATTTTGTGAGCCATTTATTAGTACTAATACCTGTAACTATCATTATGAACAACTTTGTAAACCACAGTGTTTAAATAAAGTGTGTATGAGGTGGTGATGGGTATTTTACACATGTAGTCCTTTCCTGGGCTGGAGACTTCCTCTAAGTGAGGCAAGACTGGCACATTAGGTTTACCTAATGGTTCACCACATGAGAAGAGTTCCAGCACCTGGTCTACCACCCAGCAGACATGAGCATCTGGATCTACACAGTTGTGTGCAACTAGTACAGAAGAACTTACAAAGAAAGGAATCAGGCCAGCAGCCTTGTCTCTCTCGACAGCCTCCCTCAGCGCAGAGGAGCGCATAGCAAACTTGTCATCTGAAGGGACAGTCTTTAACTTCACTCCACCAATTAATCCAGCTCTTTCCACTGAGGAATGTGCCTGGGGAGAGAGGGATGTTAGAGTCACAAATACTGTTCCACTTAGCCATCCAGACCCTGCAGAAGGCGTCCACTGCTTCAACCTCAGAAAACAGATGCTCAGAAGAAAAATCTTTCTAACTCAAAGAGTCAAAGTGCCAATTATTGGACAAACAAGATATATGATCTATATTAAATTATATGATTAAACTATAAAAAAGAAAACTATTGCCATTTGCACCAAAATTGAAGGAACTTGGAGCATTATGTGAAACTAGTAATCTAAGTATAAAAGTGTTGAATACTATAGACTGTATGTGTAATGTAAGAAAGCAAAGTTGATGAATGAACAAAAAAAGTAAGAAAAAGTTATTGAGTATTGAAAACAAACTGCAGTTACCAGCAGATGGAGATGGTGGGTGGTAGAAAAAGGGTAAGGGGTCCAAGAAAACTCTTGTGTGATGAAAGAAGCCAATAGCCTGGACCCATCCTGAATGACAGACTTGTCATTTCTTAGGGATTTTCAAAAACAACGACTCTCTTCAAAGTCACATCCCTCTGGTCTAAACACACCATTGCTATTTCTTGCTTTCTTGCTTGACTCTCCTCATGGCTATTGAATTTTCTAGTGAGAAGCACAGGCTTGGAGTCTTAGGAGCTCGTGTGAACACTAGGTTCCTGCTTTTCCCTTGTGTCTCTGAAAGAGGTGAGCCCCTATTAATGCATATTCTGAGCTCAAGTGTGGGTGTGTTTGGAGGCTGAGAACCGCCTCCCCAGACTGGCTAACTCTTTCCTTTTCAACTTGAAGAAAGTTGAGAATTCCCACCACACTGAATATTTTCACTTACTGCAGAAAATGACTGTTCAGTGACTCCTAAAGATGTGTGCTTGGATTTGCAATGACACAACATAGTTCCATTAGGGATTTGATTTGCTCCAATATGAACCAGACATTCATATCTGAGGCCTGGCCCCACTCACCTGATCTGATGAATAGGCCACCAGCTTCTCCATGATGGCCCCTGCTGTCAGCTCTGGCGAGGCGGCCTGCAGGCGGCGTATCACTTTGGTCCGAGCAGCCAGCAGGGCCACCAAAGTGGCTTCACTGGCACTTCCCTAAATCAAAGAAAGGAGTGAGTGAGCTCCACCATCAAACAGAGGAGTCAGCATTGAAACTAGATGGAGGCAGTTTCCTGCATTGTCATATTCTTCTTAAAGGATGAATCTGAAACTGTAAACATCTGAATCCCTTTGATGCCCCTTTAGCGCTCATGATTATTTTAGCATTATTTGGTCTATTTTAGGTAATATGCAGGATTTCTGAATACTTAGTGTGTATCAGGCACTGTAAGATCTTCTTCATACACATTTTCTATTCAATTTTCAGAGTTTGACCTAGAAGCTACTATTCCTACATCAGAGGAGAAAGGGTTCCTGTATACCAGCACCTAAGCCCAGCATTATGTGCAAAACTACTTGGACAGAGAAATATATCTTTAGGGGAGTACTGACCTTGAGACACAGAAATTGCCTTTGAATATTTCCATTCATCACTAAAATTAAGGATTTCTCCCTGTGTTCTCCTTAAATTTATATGATAAAGCCCTAATTCCAATATCTCTAAATGTAATTGTAATAAGAGATGACATTTTTAAAGTAATTAAGTTAAAATGTGGTCTGAAAGTAGTTTCTATCCCATTCTGATTGGTATCCTTATAAGAAAAAATTTTAAAAATACTTATGTACACACAATATCAGAAAGGCTGTGTGAGGGTATAAAAAGAAAGTGGTCAGGAGGGTACTCAAGAGAAACCAATCCTGTCTGCACTTTAATCTTAGATTTCCAGCATCTGGATGCAAGAAAAAATTAATTTATTTTTTCTAGTAATTATACCTTCTAGTAGTATTTATACCTTATACTGTGGTATTTTATTACTGCAGCCCTGACAAATACATATAACGAATGTTAACAAAGTAGGCATTCTTGGCAAATAGCTTAATTAGTTTTGTAAGGTACTAAAAAGGAGTGCAAAATTCATTCCTCTGGAGTTTGGAGTGGGAGAAAGTATGCAAATTCAGGAGTTACTCTATTACTCATTAAATCTGCAAAATAATCCTACTGTAAAACTGTACCATCATTTGGTGGGAAAATGTTTGTTCAGAGAAGTTAACTGACTTGCCCCACATCTGCAGTCAGTAAGCAGTCTAGATAGGAGAGAGCACTTCTCTGGTGGCAAACTTGCATGCTTACAAAGCTACTTCCCTTTTCTCCTGCTCTAATGACTGAGATGCTAGTAAATCCTGTGTGAGACATTCCACTAACTGAGTATTATTTACATTAGAAATAAAAAATAAAGGAAGGTGGATTTTGTTGTTAACAAGAGACTTAAGATTTAGAGGTTTATAAAAAAAATACTATAAAATAATTAGAGGTCAACCTACTTTATTTCATTCTCTTTTCATTGATCCTAATTTTACCATTTATTTTACCATTTTAAATAGAATGGAACAAACAGGGTTGAGAGACTGTCTGAGTTCATCATGTCAACTAAGACCATCCATGCTAACTCACAGTTCCAGAAGGCCAAATCTAATTCCCCGTTGGACATGGGAGTTTCCCAGTGGACGAATCCACAACGAAATTGACCACATCATATTCAATCAATGGTTTTGCCTGACTGATGTCACTGCTGTCCCCAAATTCCAAACGGGATCATACCACCATCTCCTTCGTGCAAAATTCTACTTCACGGAGTGGGGAGAAAGGGCTGCAAAGTTTAAGAAGAGAACTCCCAGAACAACCACCAACTGGGAGCTCTTTGGTACTATTGTGGCAACATGGGAAGATGCTGTCATTGACAACATTGATAAAGAATATGATTGACTGGTTCAGCACCTCCACGATTGTGCGAGGAATCCCAAGAGAGAGATAGCCACAAAAAGACACCTGTCTTCAAAAACTCTCAAGCTCATTCGCCAACGTGGCTTGGCGCGAGCCTTGGACAACCACAAGAAAATGTCTGAGCTCGCAAAGCAGCACAGAGCAATAAAGGAAGACTTCAAAGAGAGAAGAGCAACAGTGTTGGCTGATGTGGCAGAAGCCAGGCAAAGCACTTGCAACGCCCACCTGTCCTTCGCCAACTACAAGACCAAGATGACTGCCCTCCGACATCCTGATGGATCTATCACATCTTCCAGAAGGGCAATGGAGAAGATTATCCATGACTTCTACTCGGATCTCTTCCATAGCCATGTCCACCTGCCCACATACCAAATTCCGCAGGATGGATATGTCATTCCCAACACACCATTTCATCGGTAAAGAAGCGAACAGCACCCTGCCCAGACAAGGTCAGACTGGAACACCTGAAGAACCTGCCATCAGTACTCATCAATACACTGGCTCGACTCTTCATACACTACCTGTCTGAATGCAAGGTTCCATCCCAGTGGAAAACCAGCAGGACTGTTCTACTATACAAGAAGGGAGACATCCATGACATTGGCAACTATTGCCTGATCTGCCTGTTGTCTGTCATCTACAAGCTGTTCACTCGAATCATCCTGAATAGGATTGGCAGAACACTAGATGAAGGTCAACCATGCAAGCAAGCCGGTTTCTGAAAAGGATTCAGCACGATCAACCATATCCACACAGTAACCAAGATCTTTGAGGTTTCTCGGGAGTTCAAGATGTTGCTCTGTCTAACGTTCATTGATTTAAAGAAGGCCTTTGATTCTATTGAGACAGAAGTAGTCATCAAAGCCTTAGCCAAACAGAGTGTTCAAACTCAATACATCAGGATCCTCTGTGAGCTGTATTACCGATTCACTACCAGGATCTCACCATTCTACAAGGAAGTGATCATCCACGTCAAGAGAGGGGTTCGGCAAGGTGATACCATTTCACTGAAACTCTTCAGTGCCACTCTCGAGACCGTCATTCAACGACTGGAATGGGAAAGAATGGGAGTGAAGATAGACAGTTGGCAACTACACCACTTCCGCTTCACTGATGACATTGTTTTAATAACACCAAACATCAGCCAAGTGGCACAAATGCTGGCCAACTTTGACAGTGAGTGTGGAAAGGTCAACTGCAGCTGAACTCATAAAGACAATGTTCATGAGAAATGGTCTCTTTCCTGACATTCCATTCGCTCTCAACGGAACAAACATCTCTGAATGCAAAAGTTATGTGTATCTAGGTCGAGAACTCAACATGACTAATGACCTGGAACCTGAGTTGCGCAGGAGGAAGAGAGTGGCATGGAATGCCTTCAAGAGCATCGAAGAAATAGCTAAGAGGATGAAGAAACTCCAGCTCCGGGCACATCTCTTCGATTCCACTGTTCTTCCTGCATTAACATACGCCTCAGAGACCTGGGCCCTATGAAAACAGGATAAGAACGCTATTTGGGTCTCCCAAAGAGGAATCGAAAGAGCTATGCTTGGAGTATCACGCTTCACTCAAGTGAGAGAAGGAATCCGGAATTCCGACCTCTGTTGACGATCAAGAATCAGGGATGCTGTCTTATTTGTCAAGGCATCAAAAATCAGATGTGCTGAACAAGTAATGAGATTTGAGACAACCGCTGGACTAAAGCCATTACTGACTGGATTCCACAGGATGTCAAAAGATCGTGTGGCCGCCCACCTACGAGATGGTCAAATTTCTTTGTCAAGACCTTGAACAATTGGTTTGAGGCTCTTCGTGTTCCTGGAGTGAGAGATGCCGTTGGGCTACACTGGTATGCGACAGGGTCAAATGGAGACATTACTGGTGCCCACTTGAGCAAATTGATGAGTAACGGGATGTCAAGTGATCAAGTGATTTTACCATTTTAATGCTTTTCTGGTAAACCAACTCATATATTTTGGTGAAAGGGGCAGAATTAAAGATAAATTCATAGTTCTGTTGCCATGGTTCATCAACTCAAACAAATAAACACCGTCCTCCCATTGTTCATCGATTTGTTCAAGCAGGCCCAGTAACGTCTCCATTTTGAGACTTGTTGTTACTGTGTTTGGCATATTGAATACGTCAAGGGTAGCTTGCCAGACTTTGCTGTGCGGGCGAGATACTCTAGGTAGCTTGTGGGGCTCTTCAAGAGGGGTGGAGAAATTGAACCCGGCTCTGCCAGACTGGCTGCGCACAAGGCAAATGCCCTACCGCTGTGCTATCGCACTCAAATACACACATTTATAATCTTGCTTAAGCTTCTAAAATGAGCTTTACATTCATTTAACAATGATTTTGGATTTAGCTTGGGGTCACGTGATTTTGGTTATGGTAGAGCTGATGTAATCATGCTGTGTCTCCTATGTTGCATGTGTGCTATGCATCTGTCAGCGGCTTCATTCTTTCTCTTTAAAGTAGAGCAGCAACAATAATCCAGTGAAGGGTATTGATGTAGGCAGGCAGATAGGGAAGGTCCCCTCCTCAGGTGATGGCAGTAAATTTCCTAGGAAATAATAGCTCTGAAGTTGTGAAAGCCAACCTTGCAGAAAACAGGAACTAAAAGGCCTGATAAGACCCTTACCTGGTACCAGCAACAGATCCAGAAAAGTTCCAGCAGAAACAAAAGGTCAGGAAAGGAACTTCAAAGAAGACCACCACCACTCCCAACCCTACACCCCTTGACAATCTCCTTAGCAATGGACTTTTACCTAGGAAGAAGACCCATATGGAGGCAGGTTGGAAAAACCCTATAAAAGTCACCATGAACAAAGGAAGGGTGGGCATATGCTGCCTGAATCTATATGCTGCTTATGACCATATGGCCAAGCACATGTGACTCTCCAGCATATGTGTCACCTGCATCTCCTCTCTTGAGATGTGTGCTTTCATGGTCTCATGACTAATGTTGGGATGTGTGTACGGGCTATTTCCGTCCTTGCAGAAGCCCAGGTTCTCTCCTGAGCACATTATTCTCCACTCTCTCCCATTTTTTTCTCCCTCCTTCCCTTCAAAACCTCCATATAAAATCTATTTTACTTCACTGCTTGTCTACTCTCCTGGTGGTGAGGACTATATGGGATGCTGGGGATCGAATCCAAGTTGGCTGCTTGTGAGGCAAGTGCCTTACCTGCTGTGCTATGGCTCCAGCCCCAGAATAAGGATTTGTTTGATAGCCACACTCAGCGATGCTCAGGGCTTACTTCTGGCTCTGCACTCAGGGATAGCTCCTGGCAGGGTTTTGGGGACCATATAGAATATCAGGGATTGAACCTGAGTCAGTCACATGCAAGGCTGCTGCATTACTGCCCACTTTTTAATTTTATTTTTGCTTTTTGAGTCACGCCCTGAGATGCTCCAAGGTTACTCCTGGCTCTGCACTCAGGAATTGCTCCTGGCATTGCTTGGGGGGACCATATGGGATGCCAGGGGCTCAATCAATGAACCTAGGTCGGCTGCATGTAAGGCAAACACCATCCCCGCTGTACTATCGCTCCAGCTCCAATACATTTATTTGTTTATTTTGAGTCAGAAGTGACTCTGGGCATTTATCGAAGGCTTGAACACCACCACCATCACCACCATCACCAGCCCCTCAAAAGTGAATGGGCCAGAGAGAGAATATGGCATTTACCTTACATCAAGGGCTGGAGCGATAGCACAATGGGTAGCACGTTTTGCCTTGCACGCAGCTGACCCGGGTTCAATTCCTCCAGCCCTCTGGGAGAGCCCAGCAAGCTACCGAGAGTTATCTCACCCACATGGAAAAGCCTGGCAAGCTACCCATGATGTATTCAATATGCCAAACACAGTAACAAGTCTCACAACGGAGACATTACTGGGCCTGCTCTAACAAATCAATGAACAACAGGAGGACAGTGCTACAGGACAGTACTTGTCTACTCTTGAAATTCTTTTCTGCAAGATGAAACAAGACCCCAGAAAACCAGGGTTCCAAGTGGCAGTGACAGTCTTTCTCCTCTCTGCTTCACATAAGCCACCTGTGGGGCTCACCAACATCAGTATCATGCTGAGTGAAATAAGGTAGATGCAGAAGGACAAAAAAAGGATGATCACACTTATCTGTGGTAGATAGATGAACAAGAGGGACGGAAAATATGAATCGATAATAAACCTGAGACTGGGACCTCAGAGACCCTAGAGTGCTGGGTTAAGGGAGAAGTGGGGGATCTGCGGAGGGTTGCAGCACATGGGAGGTGCTGAGGGGAAACCATAACCATCAACAAATAATGGGGGCAGAGGTGGGAAGGTGAGCACTGGAGAGGAGTGGACAGAGGGCAGCGGTAAGAGTCCAGGGCTCTTTGGTGGGGGGGGGCAGTATATTTGGGCATCAATACAAGAAACTTGGGAAAAACAAGATATTCAGAAAAGGTAAATTTGCTGATTCTGAGAGTTTGCTTTCTCAGCCATCATTCATGTAGGCGCGTCTATTCCTCTCAAACACCTGCTCTCTGAGACCCAGGCTCCTGCCGCCACCCCCACCCAAGTCCCCTCATACACACAAACACCCATTCTTCTCTGAGTCACACTCAGACTAATGGCTGTGAATCACCACCCTAATTTATTATGGGTTTTCTTTGGGGCTTTTTCTAAGCCCTGAAAAAAAGCTCTCATTCTTCAGTCACAAAAGCAGTCTTTTGGGGAAAAAAAGTGCCTAATGAAATGAATTGTCTGTTGAGCATGCAGAACTCAGTGGCTTGAAGCAGCGTCCGTGGCTTGCGTGAGTGGAACATGAGGACAGTGGACTTCCTCTGGGAAGGGAGACGAGCCTAGGCACATAGGGCCTGGGTGCTCATGTTCAGAGCAGAACCAGCACCTTCCGCTTTATTGAACAGACAAAGGTTGCCATGGTGAGCCCATTGAGAGGGAGGAGGAGACCGATTCTGTGACCAGAAATGTCTTTTCATTTCCTGGGTTTTCAAGTGTCACACCAGACAGAGTGAGAAATTGGCTTTTCTTCCATGAGAGCTTTTAAACCCAATTAAGAGACCATTTTCACAGCCCTGTTTGTCCAACTCAAAGAGCAATTTGCCATTTGACTTAATTGTCCCTGTGCCTGACGCCCAGGAACTGTCATTAGGGCCCTGAGGCTCTGCATCTGCCATCTCAGCCCCGAGGCTGTAACCCATCAGGTGCTCTTGGTGTCTCACACTTTGTCGCTTTGTTGCTGAGAAGACTACCTTCCTGTCCCAGAGCTCCTCACATCCGGGCCCCTCCTCACAGCTCTGTTCTTCCTTTCTCTTACATTTTCTCTTGCTCTTTTGACAAAGGTCTCTTGCTCTGACGGCAGCCAGACAGTGCTTCTGTAAGATCAGGAGCCTGGGAAGGCGCCTAACCTCATCCCAGATAAGGTTCCACTACCACAGCTCGTCCCTCGAGTTTGGAGGCTGTGGCAAGGCTGCAGAAGGTAGCAAGTCAATTCCTGAGGTAGTGTGTAGGTGACACTCTGGGCTCTCAGCCACATCCTCCCAGGACTATTCCTATGGACACAGCTAATTACTCTGCTTTCTTGTTCTGCAGAGGAACCAAGAGACTGCATTCAGACCTCTTTTGATGCCGGCTGTTGCAAGGAAGAAGAACCCTGGGCTGCCCAGGCCTTCTTGCCTTACCTGAATCACTCCACCTCCTTCTCCAGCTTTCCCAGCTAAAAATTCCTCCGGCAGCTGCAGCATCTTTCCCAGCCAGTCCATCATCACAGTCTCCAGCTCTGTGCAGGCTGGACTTGCAGCCTATGATGAAAGGAGCGAGTTTAGGAACCAACCACATGCTACCTACCCTAGCAGCCTACACTTGAGAGAAAAAAGCCATCTCCGAAGGTCTGTTTCTGTGGTGAAGGAGACACAAGCTCTCCCATCACAGCATTCAAGAAACAGAGGCAGCAGTAGGAGCTACACCCACCCACAGGGCACAACACAGAGCATCCACACCCTGGAAGACCTAAGGCATTTCAGTGGGGACAGAAAGTAGCAAAGAACTTGGAGCATGTGAGATTCCCTTCTCCTCTGACCCAGGGCACAAAGGAGCAACCAGCGGCTTGAGGAGTTCCTGTATGAGGGCAGCCTCGCTGGTGCTCCGACATAGGCCTCCCTCTATGACTCGGGAGGCTGCCATCTGGGCATCGGAAAGATGCTGCGTTTCCTCCCAGCCTGCTACCCTTAAGGGGCCTGAGCAGGGGCCAGAACCTTTCAGCTGGAGGCCCCTTTGAGAGCTGACCAAAGGTACGTTCTTCCTGCTCTGTGCTTTGACTGTCAGGTCCATGGAGGGCTCAAGCATGCATCTGTGCAGGGATGCCAAGACACTCATCCCCTGTAGACAGAGCTTGGACCAGTGCCAGGCTCTTGGGGTCTGCAGCTCTTTGATCCTCAGGGAGTCCTCAGCAGCCCTGCAGGCCGGCTGACCCCATGGGCCTTCGGAAGGGCTGCAGAGGCAGGCTCTCCCTTCAGAAGCCTCACAGCCAAGGGCCAGAGGGGATGCAGCTCTGGAGAAGAGAGGCTGGTTCTGGGCATTCTAGGAAATCTGACGCTCACACTCACTGTGTGGGCGCAGAGCTGGGGGTTGGGAAACTGAAAAGCCCGATTCTCTGCTTTCCTCTGCTGGCACAGACACCCGGTACAAACATCCCTCACCTCCACCTGTCTTGTGCCTGTAGCATTTTTGTGCCTGCACTTGTGTCCAGTAGGGGATGCTCTAGCATCCCCCCTCCGCCCCCACACTCTCCTGTACCTGTGTCCAGTGAAGGATGGCTGGAGTATGCCCCCCTCCTCATTCTCTCCTGCACCTCCTGCGTTCAGCAGGGGATGGCCCAATCATGCCCCTCCACACTCTCTCCTGCACTTACCTCCAGCAGGGGAAGACCCAAGCATGCCCCTCCCACTCTCTTTTGCACTTGGCGTCCAGTGGGACAACCCCAAGCATGCCCCCATTCCCCAACTCTCTCTAACTCCTTCTCATGGCTCTTCAAGCTGATTTGTCTTTCCAAAGACTGAAACTGTCTCTACTGTCTGAGCTGACCATCACTGTGGCTGGGCCCACACCCCCTTGTCTCAGTCAAACCCACTCAGAAGAAGTGGGTTTTAGACAGCATGGATTCCCTGGGATTCTGCATGTAAAACTCTCTGCACTTCCTCTTCTGATCCTACAGGACAGGCTGCTGATTTGCCATGAGCTCCATCCAGAGAGGACTCAAACCCTCAACTCCAGGTGGACTTACAGAGGTACTCAAAAGGCCAGGGGACTCTCTGTGCAGGTCAGCTCATGGCACTCTCAGTAGGAAATCAAGGGCTTTCTCACCGCTAGGCAGTGGGACACGAGAACCTTGTCTTGACCAATCCCATTCTGACAAAAAGCCCTGTACTTCCTGTCAGAAATCAAGGTCTCCACAGCCATGGGGACAACAAGGCACCCCTCTAAGCCTGAGAGAAACCAGTCTGTCCCCAGAAAGAACAGACACCAGATGATAAATGTCAAGTTCCCCTGAAGCGACAGGGTGACTTGAGCAGCTGACCTAAATGAGATCCTCTGTAAGAGCTCATCAAGGACAATGCGCTTCAGCTGGAGCTGCACTCAGCAGCAGGAACCGGAAGGTCACTGAGGCCACACAGGTCATTCTTGCTGTTTCCGCAGTGGGTAGACAGTATCCGATAGAGAAGCAGCTCAGCCACTGTAGCAAAATCTGTGGCTGCTCACAGTGAGTCCTTCTGGAGTTGCTAGCCGCAACTTTCCTCCTACAATTCCTGACACACATGCCCCTTCCCAAACCAACAGGGGTCAATGCAGCAGGCAGCATGAAGAGGCCACAGTGGGTGGCAAGCTCAGGCCTCTCAGCGGGCTGATCCATTCAGTTCCAAGGCACAGGGTGCTAACTTTGGGGTCATGACTGGTTTCATTCAGGCTAAGTGCTTCTAATAAAACAATATCACAGCAGGATTGCCTTGGGATGTTTGCACTTTTTCAAACAACACGTTATATTTCCCACAATTTTAAATGTTAATTCCCTTATGAGACACATCTCCAGGGCTGAATTCGCCTTTTATCCATGTGGCACTGTCCCTAGCTCACATCCTATGAAGAGAGGTACTATGTCCCCATCAAGGGCACCCAGGCCCCTCCGCCCCCCAGCCCCCGCCAATACTCACCCAGGAGAAGCCAATGCAGCCAATAGCCCCGCACAGCATGTCTGCAAGCATGGCCGGGTAGGAACTGGCCGTGGGAAAGTAAGCAAAGAAGTAGGGGCTGTGCCAGTGGGTCACCTGTGAAGAGAGGGAGAAGTTGCCAGAGTTCTAGGAAAGCCAATTCTTACTTCTGACAAAACAGTTACGTGTGTAAAGAACAATGTTGAAGATACTTCCCCTCCTGGTGGGAGGGTGTCCAGGGGGGTTGTTCTTTCTCCACAATGGTCATAAGTACTCATTTCAGGCCGAGGGGGCTGGACAGTCTCACCCACTGTCTCCCTTCACACTGCACCATGCCCTCCTGCTGGGAGCTACGTGTGTATTGAACCTCCTATCTAGCATGACAGACACCAAGCTCCTGGCCACCTCGGCACCACTAGCCTCTCTCAGAGCTCCTGCCTCATGATCTTTAGCGGCTGGAGAAATGTTCTGCCCTTAGTCATGTTCTCAGTATGAGGCAGAATGCAAAATTTAATTCCTGGAGAACCTAATTACTGAAGCTTGATGATCTGGGATCTTAGAGATAGTGTAGGGGTGAGGCACTTGCCATGCATGTGGCCAACCCTGGACAGAATTCCTGGCACCATCAGAGCCCCCTGAGCACTCCAGAAGTTACTTCAGAGCTAGGAATAGACCCTGAGCACCACCATGGAGTAATCCCCTAAAATTTCATTGTTTAAGAAGAGACCCACATATTTTGAAGGGTTCCCTATAGCCCAAAGTACTGATGCAATCAGCAGGATTTATGAGCTCCTGGGGCACCACTGCAGGCATAGCCAATACTGAGAGCAAGGGCAGGGAAGGCCCTTTAGAAAACACGGATACTCACAGATGCTGCTGGCGCCCCAGAAATAGAGAGGTGCACATGTGTTAGCGTCCCAGGGAGGTCTGTGGAGGTGTGGGGTGGGGGTGGGAGAGAGGCAGTTGAGGGTTAGGTAAAAGACAGCTGCTATCTCAGCAAGGTGGTGGGACACAGAAGGTGAGGGCCAGGTAGAGACTAGAAGGCTACATAAAGCAGCCAGTGGTAGGGTCAAGGCAATTAGGAAGGATATGCTCAGGATGCAGAGTGTAGACACTCTGAGAGGGGCCTGAAAAGCATTGTGTTTATCATGAGAAGCAAGATAACTTTTGGGTCAAATACTAAAGAATGACCTACAATGTTAATACATTCCTCTTTATGCAAATGCTCCCATACAGCAATTTCCCACATTTCCATGGAGAAAGGGGCCCACAGTAATGAGTGTTCTGTGAATCTGCTCCTCCTCTCGCCTCAGGCACAGGGTTGCCTGACCCTCTTGCAAGGACCTGTACACAAGAGCAGATTCTGCTCCTGTTCTGTAGGTGCCCAAGAGCTTTCCTACCTTCTCTCTGCTCAGAGACCCCCCTGAACTCCCTGCCCAAGGGCTCCCCACCTCAGACACCCTCCCCAAGGGGCTCCTGACTCAGACACCTTGACCAAACTGGGCAATTCCCAGCACTGCTCTGAATCTAATAGAGTGAGAAGATTGTCAGTTCTGACCTAGACATAAGGTCTGTCTCCTTAGATTCACATCTAACCCTTGCCTTCTGATCTAGTGTTGTTTGAAGTCGGGCATTTGGCAGGAAGTTAAGAGGTCTGAGGGCCAGAGACTCTACAGGAAGATCAGACTCTGGAAGAAGAGTGGAGTAGCATCTTCTAATAGACCAGGGGAGAATCCCCACTAGAGGCTCATCTACAAGCCCCTGATTTTGGGTGAGGAGTTTCTGTTGTCTTGGTGAGGCAGCCTGTGGCATCCTTCAGGCAGGCAGAGCAGACAGGGTACCAGAAATCCTGACATTTAGCCACACCTGCCTCAAGAGGGGTTGGTATTGCATGGCAGAGTGTGTTTGTAGAGCCTCGAAGATAACCAGAAGCTTTTCCTCTCTTAGAGAAAATGTCAAGGGAAACTCTCCAGGGAAGGCAGAATGGCAATAACCTGGTGAGAAATCCCTGAATTGTGCAACTGACCAGTGAGGTCTGCCCTGCGCAGTGGCTCTGACCTGGATCCCAGGTCACAAACTTTCAAACTTTCAGGCATTCTGTTAGAAAAAAGAGGGCAAAAACCAAAAACAGAAAGGAAAAAAAAGAGGCAATGAGATTAGAACACAAGATCTCTCCCCACCCCAATAAGGCACATGCTTTTCAGTGAATTTCTTGCAGTGTAAACAATAACTGTAGCAAGTTTCCTTTGAAAGAGAATTATCTACCCCACTTCACCCACCACCTGCCCTCCCCAGGGGCTGTCTCTGAAGAAGACTTCTCCCAGGCTCCTCAGTGTCCCAAATGCTGAGCTGCTCCTCACTGGTCTCAGAGACCTGCTTCAAGGGGAACCTGCAGGTAGCAACTGTACAACAACCTGCTTTCAAGTCAAATAAATTTTCAGGGAAAGCCTCTTATCCCTCGGAGCCATACCTCATAGGCTGAAAACTGGCTCCGTTGCTTACTAACCATGACTTATCCGCTCTGATTTAGCAACTTACCCTCTCGAGATCTCAGTTTCCTCTTCTGTACAATGGAAATTATATTAATTTCACCCAATGTGTTGTCCTGAGAACTGAAATGTCCAGTGCTCAGTAGGTGCCACATTCACCTCAGCCCTCCCGGTCTCCAACCAGAATGCAGACTCACCCCGGGCATGATTATCTTCTCCACATCCTTAATGATATCCTCAAATGTGTCAGGCTCCTGGGGGGCAGAGGCAGGAATCAGGGGCCGCAAGTAGCCAGGCTCCACATCAGGGTACACCTGGCGCTCCTCAATGCCCTCCATGTAGTCAGCCACATAGTCAACCATCTCCTTCCCTCTCCTTCGGAACTCACTTGCATTCATGGTGACCGGGCTTTGTCAAAGAGAGAGCTGCATAGAATGAGAAAAAAACAGACCATCTGGGATATATGGCAGCCTCGGACATGACGTGGGGTTATGCCCATTTCAGAGCTTTCTGGAAGGCAAAAAGCCAAAATTACAGACATATGCAAAACACACAACAGTCACAAAATAAATGCACAATAAATGCTAGTTTATTCACACAAATTCATATTTTGCACTGTTTTATAATAAACTGTTTAAAGGAATGCTAGTTTATTGACACAAATTCATATTTACATTTTGCACTGTTTTATAATAAACTGTTTAAAGGAAAGCACTTTCACCTTGTTTTTTTTTTTTAAACACTTTCTTGCTGTTACATATGCGGAATTGGAGAGTATCATGCTGAATGAATTCAGTCAGGAGAGGGACTCATTCAGAATGACCTCTCTCAAATATGGGATATAAAGAAGCAAAGCAAGGGAATGAAGTGATCCAAAGCAACAGAATCTCTGAACTGGTCTGCAGAACTCAGCTTACCACAGTGGAGAAACAGGGAGGAAGAGGGGAGAGGGAGCGTGAGGAGAGATCCTGAGACAATGGTGGAGGAAAATGGACATGGTGGGAGGGAATGCTGAAAGTTTGGAGTCTTTTCATTGACAGCAGTGCAAATTAAAAAATAAAATAAAAAAATTTTACAGAGATAGTTTAATGTTTGAAATAACACGGCTAAATATATTTCTAGAACTATTTTTATATTAAATTATTCTCTCAGAGGGAACTATAAATACGTGCATTTTGCCATATAATCACCAATACAGGGTTTGAGTGATGATTTTAAGCTTTGTCGGCTGAAAGGCATTAATGATTCCATTCAACTTAACTTAAATCTCTTTGCCATTTTGATTTTTTTCTTTATCTTTTGTTTTTGTTTTTTGGCCACACCCAGCAATGCTCAGTAATGCTCCTGGAAGTCCTCGGGAGATAATGAGGGATGCCAGGGCTTGATCCATGGTTGGCTGCATATAAGCACCCTACCTGCTGTACTAAAAATCCCCAGACTCCTGATTTTTCCTTTGATGAATTGTTTGTTCACTTCACTTATTTCCACTAAGGTCTTAGATATTTTCTTAATTACAACAATCCTAATATCTTGACCATTATTTTTGGGACATATTTTTCAAACATTTTCTCATTTCTGTTTGATTTCATTTTACTTATTTTATTACAGCCTATAATAATTTTAACCTTGTTCTTTGTGATTTGAACTTTGAGAGAGAGTATTTTTTAAAGTCTTTGAAAGTAAATATTCAGTAGACATTTTTCATATTGAGGGGCAGCCTGTGATAGGTACAATCTTACGAAACTGTGAGGAACAGTATAAAAACTAGGAGATATTCACAATAATTCATTACATTTAATGGCTGGTATCAGCCATTCTTCTCCAGAAAGAGTGAATTAGAACGTATGACCAAAACATGTCACCTCTAGAGATACAAACAAAACAAACAAACAAAAAATCAGACAGATCTATACCAACCTGCCCTAGCTCAGAATAAATATTCTATGTTAAACTTTGATATCTGATTATTAGTTTCAAGTCATTCTATTTACTTGTCAATTATTTTCCACAAAGGTCTTGCATGTAGGTTCTTAGTGCAAAACCACAGGGACACTTGCTTTCATTTTGTACCTGTTTAATATTTCCTGCCTGTTCCAGAGCAAATATTGACTGGAAGATGTAGACAATGATAAAAGTGAATGCCTGGGGCCCTTACAGGCCTTTGAAACAGCTTTTATTTACATTATTTGATCCAGCATCAGCCAGCAGCTGCACACCCTGGTACTTTATGTGCAGACCATGCTTTTCTGTATTTACCTGGTGAGCCGGCTCAGCCCTGGACTTTTCACTCAACATATTATTTCAGGCACGGCTCCAGACTGACATGTTCACAAAGACTAAACTCCTACCCCCAGACCCCTCCTGACTGGCAGGGTGGCTATTTGTGTTTTTGCCATTTATTATTCTACTCATTCTGTACCAACTGTGGTCTTCTCCAAGCAGACTCCTTCACTCTTTAAATTTACTTTCTCAGGACCAACCACTGACACAGTAAGCAATGCAAATATACACTGAATAAGAAATGAGAAAATGAAATCATACATGAAGGCAAAAAAAGGAAAAATTTTTGATCATCCAGACATAGATTTCTGAAATAGATTGTGTTAGAATTTCCACTGCACTTTTGAGATGGCAAAAAAAAAAGTCACTAAATAAAAAGCTGACATCTTATTGTCTTATTCCTACTTTGGACACACTTGCAGGCTATCGAATGTAGCCTGCCCACAGGGCAGAGTCTGGCAAACTCCCCGTGGCGTACCAAATATGCCAAATACCAGTAACAATGATGGGTCTCATTCTCCTAAATAGCCTTGAATATAATCTCAGGGCTAGGATGAAAGAGACGTTACTGGGGCCTGCTCGAGGCAATCGACGAATAACAGGATGATGAAATGAAAATGAAATGAAATGAAATAAAAAGCTATGGGAAATGACAATGGCCTTCCTGAATAGATATGTTTTGTTTTGCCTTGTTTTTGTCTCTGTTTTGGGGTCGCACACGGTGATGCTCTGGATTTGCAATTAGGCATCACTCACTGCTGGGCTCTGGGGACCATATGGGGTGCTGCTCTGTAAGGCATACTCCCTGAGGCTGCACTATCTCTGCTGCCTCCCTTTTAGGTCTCAGTCAAGCCTGGCCCATGCTCCAGGCTTCTCACTGACAGTGGTAGCAGTGGGTCTCAGTATTTGTTCGTTCATGATTTCCAGGTTCTTCAATATTTTCGAGAATTAAAATATTGAGTCATAAAGATGCTCTGTCTTAGAGTTGAAAGTTGAAAAGTTTATTGGAAAGTAGGAGAAAGTAAAAAAAACTACCCGGGTAGGAAGGAACTTAGTATAGGACTAAGTTAAAAAGGAGTTTTGTGTAGGTCCTTTTATTTTTATATATTTTGTTTGACTTTTATAAAGCTGTTCACAATAATTCATTACATTTAATATTCAAACACCAATCCCACCACTATTGCACCATCCTACCACTGTATTTCAAACGTTTCCACCCCAAATTCCAAATTGTGCCCCCAAAGCAAAACTGAAACAATTAATTTTGTATCGTTCATTATGAATAATCTGCTAAAAATGGTCCAATAAAGTTTCCTTAGGGGAAAGTGTGTGAAGATTGTTGTATTTCATCCTCGAGTCATTAAGCCCTTGTATGTGCTATTCTTGGTATGTCAGTGTAGAGTATGAGAAGTCTCTCCAGGAATTCTAAAATTTAGAATGATTATACAGCAGATTCACTCATGGGTGAGGCTTGTTCGAGCCTGTGGAGGGTGGTCACGAGCATGGTGGTGATTGAGTTCTGAAGGTTTTCGGCTGCTGGGGAGGCTCTGTGGGGGCGGAAAGTAAAACTCACCTGCCCTCTCTGAGTTGTCCCGGAGAAGACAGTGTGTAGGCTCTTTTAAAGACTCCTTGCATTTCTTGTCAATTGGCAAGTGTTTACAGAGGATGCGGGGAAGTTGCAGGGATGTTTGGTTCATCAAAATCCCTCCAGGTATTGCCCATTATCTCATTCTCCCTGTCAGCTGAGACTTCATGGCAGTGTTATGGTTCTGGGAAATTCCAGAAACCCTAAGACAGGACTTTGGGATGAATTGTGCATTAAGTCAGATCAACAGGGGAGAAATAGATCTGCTGGCAAGGGGAAACCAAAGGTTTCCTCTTTCATCACTAATGTAGTTTTCTCAGTCTAGACTCTGGATATTCCCTCCTTGGACAGAGGTTTCCTCTGGCATTCATTTCCCAAGGTATGATAGATATGGAAATATCTTCCTCCCTCGACTCCTAGAGTCTAGCCTCTGCTATAGCTATTTAATTGGTTCCTAACACAACCCTAGATGATGATTACTGGTATAGGGATGGGTGAGTTGAGCTCCACAGGACCCTGCTGCAGAGCTACTGTGGAGGCTCTACCTCACTGACAGGACCAACCACATTAGACGTTGGAGTGTCCAGGGAGTTAGGTTCTCTTGGAGGCCATGACCATAGGTGCTTTGGATCTGCCTGTCAGTCTGTCCTGTATATAGGTACAATCTACCATGTTCTGTTTTAAACCCCTGGGAATCTAGAGAGCTCACTCAACATGTTATGGTGTATTTTTCTATATAGATAAAAAGGAAATCATTTATGTCTTTATATTATTACAGGAAAAAGTGACTTATAACTTGTAATAAAAAAAAAGTCCTGGGGCTGGAGTGATAGCACAGTGGGTAGGGCGTTTGCCTTGCACACGGCTGACCCGGGTTCAATTCCCAGCATCCCATATGGTTCCCCGAGCACTGCCAGGAGTGATTCCTGAGTGCAGAGCCAGGAGTAACCCCTGAGCATCACCCAAAAAGCAAAACAAACAAACAAACAAACAAACAAAAACAAGTCCTTTCTACAGGACTGTGATGTACTGTCTCTTTCCTCCCTCAAGCATGCATCAATCCACGTACAAGATTAATCTAATTTGTTGTCATCTAAATAGACTGGCTGCAGACTGTCAGAATACTGAAATATAATTGAGAACTCAGAAATAAACTCTATAATACATGAACAACTAATTCATAACAAATGAGTTAGGTGCATTAAGTGAAGAAAAGAAAAGCTTTTCTACAAATGGTCCTAGGAAAACTTGTAGGCACATGCAAAAGAAACAAAATTGAACCCCTACGTCCCACCATATACAAGTTGAACTCAAGCTGAATCAAAGGTCTAAGTATTAGAAAAAATCTGCAAAATATGCCATATATGATAGGATATGACTCTTCATCTTTTTATTATTTATTTTTTTAATTTTTAAGAAGTTTAATTGGAGATACACTTAAAACTTGCATATTACATTTCAGTCACACAATGCTCGAGCACCCATCCCTCCACCAGTGCACATTTTCCACCACCACTGTTCCCAGTGTCCCACCTGCCACTCCCACCCAACCCCAGCCCC